ATATATACATATATACATACATATATACATATACATATATATATATATGTGTCTGTATATATATAAATTGTTGGAATAAACAGAAGGAGTTCTGTCTGTTCCGACAAAGGGACCACAACGTTTGGTCAGAAAAAGAGAACGGCACTAAAACCATCAACAACTCTATGTTATACTGTCCGATGTACAAATAAACCTAACCATATAGATATACAATGTTTTTTTATATATATATATATATTTTTTTTTTGCATTGCACTTTTCTTTTCTTAAAACACCTTACACACTGTGTGGAAAGTAGCTTCTATACACAGAGGCATACCTTAAAATGGCAAGTACGGTGTCTAAAAGCATGTAGTAGGACTGATTTCAATTAGAGTTTTGGCAATGAGGCTGTGGCATGGAGAAGAGTCCTTTTTTTCTCTCCTTTCTTTCTTCTTCTTCTTCTTCTCCTCTGGGGAATGGGGTTGCATGGCAACAGTGAGGTCAGCGATGTGTGTCTTGTCTGGAGCCGGGGCCCTCGGGTGCTCGTCCACATCTCAACAAGTGTTTTATGGAGAGAGAAGCCGGCTGGGGTCTTCTTACGGATGAGGTGTCAGGACAACTGCAACTGGTCAGCACTACCGAAAAACTTTGCCTAGGTTCTTCAGTGTACGCTTGTGCATGGGTGTGTGTGTGTGTGTGTGCATGGGTGTGTGTGTGTGTTGGTGTGTGTTGGTGTCCTGTCTCTCACAGAGGCGCTTCACGGAATATCTTCTCCCCCCTTTGGCAACACTTCCCTGTTGAGGAACAAATATGGAGACATTTTTATTCATAAATACCAAGTAGTCATTTCAATCATAGAAACATAACCTGATGCAAACTTTTTTTTATTATTTTGTTATTAAAGCACAAGATGAAGTTTGGAAGTAAATGTCTTAAAATGACTGAAGCATTTTAATCATTTTTCCACTCATGATGTCTTATTTTAGTTTGTGCAAAGTCGGATAAGATCAAGCAACTCAAAGCAAACAGCGGCAACAATGGTGGAGGAATTATAGTAAAGGAAAAAAATAAATGTCATATTTACCACGACATCACTGCACCACACAACACTTGTGCTTATTTGCATTAGGTTTACCTGCCCCCGCTGTTATTCGGAAGGACAGGAAGACGGGCTGGTATGGGAGGGAGACAGAGACAGAAACGCAGTTAAAAAAACAAACTTTGTTATTAATGCTCTCCGGGACAAGTGGCAGCTCCGCCCCTCTCCTCTCTCTGAGCACCGATGTCACGCGGGTTAACTCTCACACCAGTGCGGTGCATTTTTGGGCCCGCGTGCTAACGACATCGGACATTTTCTTAAACATAGCCGGCTGTGATTTTAGCGGCGGTGCGCGGCCGGGAGGTCATGGCCTGCCCGGGTATCAGGTCACCTCGCACACACACGCTACTGTCTGCGTCACACTAAGGATTGATGAAAGGCCCGACTTGAGGCGCCTCTCTGACACGCCAGAGACTGGAGCGACGGTGTTAAACACTTTCTATACAGTCAGCTTTAAAAGAAAAGTCTCCGAGCTGCTCTGACTTCTCTTCCACTTCTTTGGATCGTGCTTTAAATACGCACCTTTAAATCAGGGCCGACTGCTTGGGGGGGATGGGGGGTGGGGGGGGGGGGGGGGGGGTGGGGGGGGGGGTGTAGCTGCAGGATACATTTGTACTCTGAAATGTATTAATTTTGTAATTGTAATTGTTGATCACACGGATGATGTCACAAATGTTCTTCCTTTCCCTGGTTGTAGAACACGATAGAGCGCTGCAGGGATGATGTCGTTTTGTTGGCCAACCAGGAAGTTAGCATCGCACTGGTTCCCTCGACGACGGGGTTGGATTTTGGATTATTGCAGAAAATTAACTCAAACACAAGTTTTTGATACTTTGTGATCAACGACATGATCTTCACACATGAACACCACTTATAGGATCTGTGAAGCGTGACTGAAATTGGCAGAAGTTGAGCGCTAACGCGAGGCTATAAACAAAGCTCAGCGGGCTTTAGGACTCATTCCTGCAGCGCTCTATTGGAAACCAGTGGTGTTTCCTTGTGTATTTTACTGAAGTACAATTTTGACATACTTGCACTTTATTTGGGTATTTTCTATTTTTTCATTTCATGCCACTTAACATTTATACTACACATACTACAAACATTATACTTGTTACTCTACTACATTTATCTGACATCTGTAGTTACCGGTTACTTTTGACATGAAAACACATGTTCTGCTTAGACGATGTGATGCGGTACTATACTACTTATATATCCAGTAGTATTCAAAGTATCTAAATATTGGCTCCAAGTTGATGAACTACAACATTAAAATGCTCTCACACGTGTTTTTTAGTGATAAAATGGAATATTCTAGAACTGTGAAAGAAGCCATTCTGAGTACTTTTACTTCTGATACTTTGAGTACATTCTGCTGATACTTCTGTACTTTTATTTAAGTAATATTTTGAATCTAGGACTTTATTTATTTATTTTCAGAACGCGGTATTTCTACTTTGTGGAAAATGGAGTTCTTCTGCAACTATTGCTGGAAAGTAAAGTTAAACTAATGAAAATAATGGCGCTTACACGTTACATAAGGAGACGTTTGTTGATAAAGGAGCCAAATTCAATGCTAAAGTTAAATAAAATCAATGCAGGTGCATCCTTCACTAACAATACGAGCCTCAAACAGTTGCGACACATTCCAGATGTACAGTCTGTGACACAAACAGCTGTTTAGATGCACACGTGTTGAGAGAAATCCGTCCTTGCCCATTTCTAGGAATCAGACTCACAGAATCAAATGACAATGAACAGTTTGATCACCACACAGTGAGGATGTTGTTGTTGTTACCTTGTGGTCCCCCATGCAGACGTTGGGCCCGATGTTATCATACACTATAGACTTCTCCTCGTTTTCAGGCTGCAGACACACAAAATCAAAAAAAGGTTTGGGGATGAAAACGAGCTGGGCGACATGGATGTTTGTTACATGCAAAGAGGGCTGTGCACGCACCGCGCTGCAGGGAACACACACACACACACACACACACAGGATGCAGAGTCAGCAGCACGGTGTTGGGTGTTTACACAGTACGTATCATTACATCACACTTGTCATGTTTTATGACACGTTCACGGGTGAGAAATCGATGCACCGGCTTCATCAAGCGCAATTAGCGGTATTATACTGCGCTTTTCAAAATAAAAGTCCCCTGGAACCGCACCATGTCCATATCAACAGTGGCTCGTGCCTTCAGTCTTTTTCTTTACTTTTTTGTGTCCACAAATTGGACATTCAAATTAATTTGCAAAAATCTGCCAGAACAATGATCATTTGTTGAGGTACCAATAAAATCCTCATTATGTCAAACTGTGAATCTTCCATTTTCACATAATTTCTGGTTGATATATATTCTTTCTGACTCCGACTTCAGTTTGCAGAGTAGTACAAAGAGTTGGGGGACACATGTAAAATGAGCACCAGTGCAACTGTTAAGTAATTATGGGTTTATTATGCACTCAGACACTTAGTTCAGAGAATTGTAAGGGACAGCCATTAGTACAATAAAGCCAATTTACAGGCCAGTGACCAACAGGAAGTGGATTTGTCTCAATTAGGTTGTACGATTGTTTAAGGGAACTTTATTGATGGGTTTATCATTCATGAATAACTCAGGAAACATCACAAACACCAGGATTCTCACCGAGCAGCGGCGGCGCAGGGCGGCTGATTTATGAAGAAACACAAGTGTGCATTGAGTTGAATGCACCTTTAGGAGCAGTTTGTGCATGGCGTGGTGAGGGGGGGGGGAAGAAAAGCAGGAGTAATCTACAAAGTGGACATTTGCCTCTGGACCAAATAGTCCCCTCGCTGTAATATAAGTGCCTATCTGAGGGAATCGTGTTTCAATATCACTCCCTGCACACAAAAGACGCCGTTGCCCCACTCGCACATGGATCTGCAGACTGGAGTATAAATCACACTTGTCTGGTTGAACTAAAGACTTTTTAAACAGCACACACACACACACACACACACACACACACACACACACACACACAC